GGAACACTTCTGCATTGCTGATGAGAATGCAAGCTGGTACAGCCCCTTTGGATGTCAGTGTGGCAATTTCTCAGAAAATTAGGAAACAACCTTCCTCAAGACCCAATAATACCACTTTTGGGTATATATCCAAAGGATGCTCAATCATGCCACAAGGACATGTGCTCAACTATGTTCATAGCAGCATTGTTTGTCATAGCCAGAACCTGGAAGCAACCTAAATGCCCCTTGACCGAAGAATGGATAAGGAAAATGTGATACATTTACACAGTGGAGTACTACACAGCAGAAAAAAATAACAACAACAACAACAAAAATAACAACAGCTTGAATTTTGCAGGAAAATGGATGGAACTAGAAAATATTATTTTGAGTGAGGTAACCCAGACACAGAAAGACAATTATCACATGTACTCACTCATAGGTGGTTTTTAAACATAAAGCAAAGAAAGCCAGCCTACAAACCACAATCCCAAAGAATTTAGACAACAATGAGGTCACTAAGAGAGACTTACATAAATATAATCTACATGGGAAGTAGAAAGTAGAAAAAGACAAGATCTCCTGAGTAAATTGGGAGCATGGGAACCTTGGGGGAGGGTTGAAGGGGGAGGGGAGAGTCAGGGAAGGGAGCAGGGAAAAATGTAGAGCTCAATAAATATGAATAAAAAATGTATTAAAAAACAAAACTAAGCAAAAAAAACCAAAACAAATGGAACTTATCTTAATTATTGCCACGAAGAGACACCATTGAAAGGGTCCAAGAATAAGAATATAAAAATGTAGATTCCAGAAATAGGAATGTAAAAATAAGGAAATATAAAGTTTTAAGCCTAGGAGAATGAGAACAGACTGTCTTTCTCAGAGGGCTTCCTCAGTAGCTTAAGGATTAACTATTAACAGTGGGTTACTTCACTTTACAACCCATAGCTCTATTCACAAGGCCAAAGCATCTCTCTGCAAACTGAGAGCTAGCCTATGGACATGAGCTGAGTCAACTTTTAGGAAATAGATATACGGCCTCTGGGTTACGCATTATCCCTGCTATGCGAAACTGGCAGCCTCAAAGGAAAGGCACAGGGCTTCAGTAAACACCACCTGGAATACCAAGGAAGGCAATAGGTTAAACACCAACATTAGTTTAACTGGAAAATGAAGATTGTAAAGTAAGGCAGTCTATGTCTGAGTTTTACCTTGAGATTATGTGAGAAACTTTTTGCTATCTTCTGAGTTCCGAGCCTAAGAACCAATTATTCTGATTTATTAACCTTCTGATATTACTAGCAGTCCTTTTTCTGACTAATTGCTAAAAACATCCGTTTCCTTGCAATCAGTGACTTTCGCTGTATTCTCCTCTGAAACATATTTCATGATAGCTGCCTAGTTACCCATTGACGTTAGAACCCACTCCCTCTTTCCCATTACCCTATGGCTACCCCATTTACTCCCCTAATAAATGAGACTTGGTCAGAATCTTGACTTGTCTCCATCCCTTGTATCTCTTGTCCCTTTCAACTCTCACTCCTCCCCTTAGGGTTTCCCTTGACTGACCTGCTGGTTGGGACAAGATTGTAAAAATTCCTTTCTTCAGACCTAATGCTTGGTGGCTGTACTATAAAAAGGTGGATTCAGAAACCGGCCTTTTGCCACGGCCTAACAAACACTACCTCTGGCTGTGGTCTCAGCTAGCTGATAAGCTTCTGTGCCCCGCGGTGTTTTTCTTTTTCTTTTTTTTTTTCTTTTTAAGTTTTCTTCTGGTTTTCCTGAAATCTGGTTTCTTAAATAAAGTTTGCTTCTGGTTTATTAGACTTTGGTGGTCTGTCCCCATCTTTGTGTGACCCCCCCCCCTGGACCCAATAGCCATGACCATGTCAACTCTTACAAAGAAAAACATTTGTTAGGGTGGTTTACAGTTCAGGGGTTCAGTCCACTATTGTTATGATGGGACAAGGCAGCATGCGGGCAGACATGGTGCTGGAGAGGAAGCTGAGAGTTCTCCATCTTTCACAGGTAACAGGAAGTGGTTTGAGACACTAGGCATAGCTAGAGCATATCTGGGACCTCAATCCCCACCCCAGAGTGAAGCACTTCCTCCAGCAAGGCCATACCCACTCCAACAAGGTCACACCTCCTAATGGTATCACTTTTATGTTTATGAGGGCCAATTATCTTTAAACTACCACAGGCCTAAAGGGAATAGAACTCCTTGTTATATGTATTTTTGCCTTCCCAGTGGCAGATAACATCAGGATTGAATCTTATAAGGGCTGGAGGTAAGGCTAGTGGTTAAGAACATCTGAGTTTGATTTACAGCACCCATAGCAAGAGGCTTTCAACTGTCTGTATTCCATCCCAAGGGGGATACAACACCTCTGTTCTCTGTAGGTACCCACGCACACATATGCATACCAACGTGTGCACATAGACAGACGTATACATATTTTTTTTTTCTGAGACAGGATTTCTCTCTGTAACAGTCCTGGTTGTCCTGGAATTCACTTCATACATCAGGCTGGCCTCGAACTCACTGAGATCCGACTACTTCTGTCTCTCCAGTACTGGGATCAAAGGTATGTACCACCATGCCTGGCTCCGGCTTTGTTGTTTTTTTTTTCCTTTTTTTTTTTTTTTTCTCAAGACAGGGTTTCTCTGTGGCTTTGGAGCCTGTCCTGGCACTAGCTCTGTAGACCAGGCTGGTCTTGAACTCACAGAGATCCGCCTGCCTCTGCCTCCCGAGTGCTGGGATTAAAGGCGAGCGCCACCATCACCCGGCATTCCGGCTTTGGTTTTTAAAGATTGGCAGTTCTGAGATTTCTCTGAGTGACCTACATCTAGAAGAGCACAAGGGATTTGAACAGGAACATTTTTTCTGGAGAACTGGAAGAATCTGATTCTAAACGTGATAATGCGTGGATTATTACAAGCAATAGGCTTGGCAAGTGCTCACATTGTGCTTCTCTGACGCAAGAGACTTATCCAAGGTCAGGTGCCCCAGAGGAAACAAGAGTGGTGATTCCTAGCACTTAACTCTCAACCAATTCTAGCTAAGGACATTAGTGCTGCTTCGTCACCCAGGGTAACTCTCTGGGACTCTCACAAGGGCTTAGGAATTCAATAGTGCTTGCTGCAGCTTCTTGGCCATGCCTGATTCTCAGCTATACAAAGGTGGTAATCCGATTTTTAAATTACAGAATTATTAATTCAATAAAATCAAACAAGTTCCACTCTGGTTAGTTAGGGCTCCAGCCTGCTGATTCAGTCCTGGAAAGGGTCTGTATGGGAGCCTAGTGGAATACTAAGGAGTATGGCTGCCCCATATGCTGGACACAGAAGAGGGGCACCCTGCCCTACAGTGCAGTGCCCCTGAACGAGAAATCTCCAGACCAAGACAAGAGCTGGCTCCTCGGGGAGCTCTAACACGCAGTTCTCATCTCTCCTGACGCCAGACCACAGAAACACAGGACGTTTCCATGGCCCAGAGTGATCCTTTCTGCCTGCGCTGCAGAACTCTCTTCTCAAGGCTGCCTTTCTGTCCCATCTATTCTTCTGCTTTCCGCTGCTGCTGGAGACCTCGAGCTTTGCCTTTGTGCTTGCCCTAGATTCCTCGTTCTAAAGGCATGTTTAGGGAGAGATATTATTCATTCCCGCTCCGCCGGGAAAGAAGCCCATGCATCCTGCTGCTGCTGGAGAGAGTGAGGTCTAGAATTAATCCCTCTCCTTGCTCCACTTTCTCCCAGCTGGCTAAACCAAGCGATCATCCTAAAAGGGAATTTCAGGCTATCTGTGACTCCCTACCTCCACTGCACCGCACACACGCTGTGTTGAGGGAGAGAGGCCAAAGCCCTTTGGATCAGAGTAATCTGTTTCTAACCCACTTCCATTCTCAGGGATTACTTTTAGGGGGAGGGGAGGGGAAGGGAGAGGGAAAGAGAACTAAATCTCTGTGCCTTAGTGTGAGGAGGAAACTCCAGATGCGCCCTTGAGGACTGGAGGCGTGGAGAGTCCACCTGGGAGCTCCCTCCCTTTCCCAGGGTCCACAGGCTGGAAAGTCAGAGCCTGAAGTAAGGTTTGGCATTAACAGGCACTGAATGAAAGAGTGGAAATTTCATGGCCTGTGGGCAGATGAAGGTAAACGCTGTCCCCGCTTGTATCTCCAAGTTTCCCGTCTTTATATGCTCAAGTTATGGGTAGAGTCAACCCATCAACCAGTAAGTGTGGTGCGGTGAGAAAGCGCTCTAGGGACAAAGAAACACGCTCCCCTCCCCCCCTTGCTGGCTTTCTCCTTTACCCTGTGGCTTTACACGAGTCACTTTGCATCTCTGATCACTAGTTTGTCCTCAGTAAAAGGGGGAGGGGAAAAGTCTATTTCCTGAATCCCAAAAGCCCGGTTTCCCAAGTGACATGGATCTCCTTCCTCTTTATAACACACAAAGACCAGATCCCCGGAGCGGTTACCAGCATGACTCTTCTGCGGACCTTGTGTGATATCTCTGGTGCTTACCACACATTTTCTCTAACCTGTACTTCATCCTCCACACCCATAGAGCTCCAACATCCAGATATACTTTCCCGAACACGGCATTCTTTTGAGATGCTCTTGGCGAGCTTCATGTGTGCTAATGCGGGAAACTTCCACTAGAGGGCATCAGGGCTGCACTGGGATTTCAGTTCGCAAGCCCTGTGCAATTCAGGACCTTTCAGTCTCTGCGCTGGGAAGTACAGAGCTCTCTTTTTAGTGCTCATCACCTCATTTGCTCTTTACTGAGCTTAAAAAATAGTCTTAAAAAGCCTCCACTAGTTTGACATCATTTTAAGTTGATTTGATCTCAGCTCAAACACGGCTTAGTATGGCGGAATCCATGAGGGTTCCGGCAACTGATACAGACCTTGTGGTAGGATTTCCAAATTCGATGAGCAAATTGCTTAAACCTGCTGTGGCCCCATACTCTTGGGTGAAATTGGAATTGCAAAACTGACCTCACTGAGTGACCGCATAGGGATCGTGTGACCGGTATAGCGCAAATAACTGGGCTTATTTAAGTGCTAGAGGAGAATTTTGACCTACTGCAGATGGGGAACGGTGGTGTTATAATATATAGGTCTGGAGGAGTGCAGAGCTCCTCTTGCCATTTTATCCTCCAGTCTTACGGTTTTGAGGCCGATGCTGCGGGTGGCTCGGCTCATCCCTCGGTGACTCTCATCACACCGCAACCTAAGAGTGCTGCTCCTCCGTCCTTTATCTTGTTTTTTAGGGAGGTAAGTTACTTCCAGCTCACGCCTCCATGAAAACCCTCTTTTATTCTTTTACTCTGCCTTGTGTTTCCCGAATGCCCCATTCCCACCGGCGCTGCCCTTTCCTCTCGCTCTCAGGGCTTCTCCGTTCACTTCGGGAGACTCCTAGACCAGGGAAGGTTTGCGAAGGGGGGCGAGGAACAGCGTGCTCCGGGCTTGCGTGTCAGTAGACACGTTACAGCTGCAGGGCAACCCAGGGTGAAGCCACAAGGCAGAGGCCGCAGGGCAGGCAACTGACAGGCCCCGCCCCTTGGCTTCTGCCTTCACTGTCTCACCCCAGAGTTTTCCTGGCCCAAGCGGGAGAAGTTGGTACCAAGCCCTGGAGCCCTGACTCATTCTGCGTCCTAGCTGGGTGCTTCTCAGTCACGTCTCTCAGACTATCTCTCCAGGGTTCCTCTGCGCTAGCCACGTGGCTGTGTCATCTCAAACAGGAAATGCCGAAGAAGAGGAAACAGATCACCTACTCACTTCATTCCTATCTGGGGACCCTAACAGCAAACATGAAGTTTATGGCGCTGGTGGTTATAAACTGAACAACCCCATCCTTTATTGCTACTTGAAGGGACTAGATATTTTGCAGATTTCTTTTAAATAATTGAAACAATCGTCCCTAAAGTTATCAAGAAAAAAAAAAAAGAAACTGTTCAGGAGAGGAGGAGGGGAACATGGGACCAGGAAGTGACACAGTGACTCAGGGCCTTATCTAGGGACATAATTCAGGTCTCCCAACCCAACCCTAAATTCCATTCTTCTCCTCCACTGAATTACTCAGGGACCACATTGATATCCTGGGCTTTCTGGACATCATAAAATTGTTCTTTTTTTTGTTTTTGTTTTTTGAAGACAGGGTTTCTCTGTAGGTTTGGGGCCTGTCCTGATTGCTCTTGTAGATCAGGTTGGCCTTGAACTCACAGAGATCCGCCTGCCTCTGCCTCCCAAGTGTTGGGATTAAAGGCTTGTGCCACCACCGCCCGGCTAATATTGTTCTCATGTTGCCAAATTAAGTCCCGTGGATTCGACAGAAAATCAGTTGTGTTATGCTTCCTGATGTAGTTTGTCCTTTGGCTGTTTGTCCCGTGCAATGTGTGAGACAGACGTCTGCCAAGCTGACACCTAGACAGGTGATCCATACACTTGGAGTTATCGAAGATGCAAAAAAGACTGGTGTGCACTCTGCCATCCTGAGGTGACATCTTAAAGATTGGAGATTGCATTCTTGCCCGTCCCTGTACCAGGAATGCTAGAATTTTCTTTTTTTTTTTTTCCTTCATTTTTTTCTTTTCTTTAATTCTTTTGTTTTGTTGTTTTGGACAGGGTTTTCTTTTTTTCTTTTTCTTTTTTTTTTTTTTTTTTTTTTTTTTTTTTTGGACAGGGTTTTCTTTTTTTCTTTTTCTTTTTTTTTTTTTTTTTTTTGGTTTTTCGAGACAGGGTTTCTCTGTGGCTTTGGAGCCTGTCCTGGAACTAGCTCTGTAGACCAGGCTGGTCTCGAACTCACAGAGATCCGCCTGCCTCTGCCTCCCAAGTGCCAGGATTAAAGACATTCACCATATTGAGAATTATTTTCTTACCTTCCCTTTATTTCAAGGTTCCAGTCACCTCTAGAGTGGGGCCGTGCTTCCTAAAGCCATTAAGTGGCTTCCAGGAAAGTCGATTTTAGCACTCTCCTTTGGCAGAGGGCGTGGAGTCATTGCAAACAAGCCAGGACATCTTTCTGCCAGAGCTCCCATGGAAGAAAGAGAGTTCCAGAGTTTTCCAGAAGGGTCACCTAATGGGGAGGAACAGTGAGAGAGCCTCAGAGAGGAAAAAGTCAGGGGCTGGACCCCCAAGCTTCATGGTCCCAAAAGATCAAATTCTGGAGACATGGCCCAGCACCCCTGCCCCTCTCTCGTCCTCCTGACCATCTGATGGAATTTCTTTTGTTCCCTATTCCTTAATGCAATCGTTCATTTTATTGCTCAGACAGGGTGTCTCTGTATCCCAGACTGGTCTTGCACTTGTGAAGGGAATGAATGCCTTAGCATCTCCAGGGCTAGAATTACAGGTGTTCACTTCCGTGTTTGGCTGGTTACTCAATCTTTCCTATGTGTTTACCTATGTCTCCTACCTCTACCCAGACATTGTGTTTTATTTATTTGAGATTTATTTTACGTGCATGAGCGTTTCATCTGCATATATGTCTGCGCACCACCTGTGTGTCTGGTGTCCACAGGAGCCAGAAGAGGGCATCCAGTCTCTTGGAACTGGAGTTACAGATGGTTGTGAGCCACCATGTGAGTGCAGGGAATCAAACTTGGGTCCTCTGGAAGAGCAACCAGTGCTCTTGACTACTGAACCATCTCCTCAGCCCTATTTACTTATATTTAGAGACAGGATGTAGCACTGGTTGGTCTGGAACTCTCTATGTAGGCCAGGCTGTCCTCAAACTCACAGAGATCCGCTTGCCTCTGCCTCCCGAGTGCTGGGATTAAAGGCGGGCGCCACCACTGCCCAGCACAATGCCTTTTTTTAAATTAATTAATTAATTTATTGAAAAGAAAAAATTAATTAATTAATTAATTAATTAAAGATTTCTGTCTCTTCCCCACCGCACAATGTCTTAATATGCCATGGAAAAACAGGATTGCAGAATTCTAGGAACTTTCTCATGACCTGTATTCCACAGACATTGGAGCTTATGAATTTATGGTGTTATCTTGTCCATATGTGGTTTTTTTTTTCTGAAAAAGTCTTTTTTTTTTTTTTTTTTTGGCCAGGTTTTCAAGAGGTTCTATGATCACATCAGCCTACTCTGCAAATAGTTGAGTGCTAGAATACATGCTTAGTACATACAAGGCCCTGTATTCCTTCCTCATCGTAGGGAAGAAAGAAACACTCAAATGAGCAGTCTAAATCATGAAGTTCAGTGTGTGTTTGCTTTGGGTTTTGTTTTGTTTTGTTTCCAGAATAAGGCTGGGAATCAAAGTTAATTTTGGGACTTCGGTCATGACTTTTCCTTTTAGAAATAAGTAAAAGAAGGGTGGGCAGTGGTGGCTCAGGACTTTAATTCTAGCACTGGAGAGGCAGAGGCAGGCAGATCTCAGTGAGTTCAAGGTCAGCCTGGTCCACAAAATGAATTTCACCACAGCTAGCACTGTTATACAGGGAAACCCTGAGTCAAAAAAAATAAATAAATAAAATAAAAAAAAAAGAGAGAGAAAGAAAGTAAAAGAAAATATATCAGGGTGTGTAGTAAAATGAAAGGCCATTGGTAAATTAATATTGACTTAGAAATTCATTTATAATAACATTTATTTTTAAGACAAAGCCTTGCTGTAAGGCCCAGGCTGGCCTAGAATATGCTATATAGCCCAGGCTGACAGTAAAAAGATATATGCACACACACACTGCCAAATGTTGGTAAGGACTAAGACAAAAGTGATCACAAGGTACAAGGAGATACAAGTAGAGCATGGCAGTCCTTTGGAGACATGCAGGCAAGGCCACATTTGAGCTTGAAAAGACGACATTCCATGGGGACAGACATGCTCAAAGGCACAGTAGTTTAAAATGACCTAGGATCAATTGGACGTGGTGGAGCGTGCCTGTAAACACAGCACTTGGAAGGCTGAAACAGGAGACTTGCTACAAATTCACGGTCAACCTTGTCTACAAAGCAAGTACCAGGTTAGACAGGGCTGTGAAGAAGGATCCTGTGTCAAAAATAAAATGAAGACAACAAAACCACCTCTGAGAGGCAGAGTGTTCTGGTGGAATGGAACATTGATTGCTTCAGGACTGCGGTAGCCAGCTGCCAAGGTTTCAGATGCAGGCTGGAGCATGGAGAGTCTCTCCCACCAAATCCAGGAATTCTTACAGCTGTAGCAGCCTGTCACCCACATCTGCCTGGACCCCCTCAGTGCCAGGAAACCTAGGTCTTTGTATGCAGCCCATTCTGTTTCTGAGTATCTGGTCTTGAGAGAGCCCTTTCTGTTCTGATGTGTTATTTCCTTCTTACACATGGTGATCCTCACAGCCCTCTGCAGCATCACAGGGTGAATCTATGCCCTGTTTCTATTAGGCCAAACCAAGTGAAATAGCTATTACTGTAGGTCAGTTGAATACGGGCAATTTCAAATCGTCAGCATTCAACAGGCAGTTTGGTATTTGAGAGCAGGTATTATGGGTCACCTTAGTTTTCCTTCCTGTATCCTCCTCCCTCTCCAGTGCTGCTGGGATCACAGGCATGTGCCACGAGGACCAGCCTTTAAAATATTTTATTTTTTGCGACTCAGTCTCACGTGGACCAGGCTCACCTTGAACCGCTGATACTCTCACCTCCACATCCCCAGTGCTGGGGTTACACATACCTCACTCACCTCACAAGTCATCAGAGCGTCTTCACTGTGATCTCTCACTAAACACATCCTACCGTTTCCCTGTCTTTCTTAACTGACAAGGCCAGAGCTGGTCATCGCAACACACAGTGTGATTGTGATCTTTCTATAGGACATTCTCTGAAACCGAGACTGGATTGAGTTTGTTGGCACCTAAACCTTTTCACCTAAAATTTTGTCAAGGAAGTTCAGCTTCTTCCTGTGCGACTGATTTTTTTTTTTAAAAAAAAAAAAAACAAAACCATAACTGAGCCAGGCGCCTTTAATCCCAGTGCTCAGGAGGCAGAGGCAGGAGGATCTCTGTGAGTTCAAGTCCAGCCTGGTCTACAAGATCTAGTTCCAGGAAAGGTTCCAAAGCCACAGAGAAACCCTGTCTCGCAACCCCCCCCAAAAAAAAACCCCACCAACAACAGAAAACGTAACTGTTAATCTTGACTTTATCCCTGTTAAATTTCATCTTGTTGATTTTGGTACTTTGTTCTAATCTGTCAAGATGATCTGGCTGCATTGTAAACATATATCAAAACATCACGCTGGCCGGGCGGTGGTGGCGCATGCCTTTAATCCCAGCACTCGGGAGGCAGAGGCAGGCGGATCTCTGTGAGTCTCGAGACCAGCCTGGTCTACAGAGCTAGTTCCAGGACAGGCTCCAAAGCCACAGAGAAACCCTGTCTTGAAAAAAAACAAAAAACAACAACAACAACAAAAAAGAAAAACAACAACAACAACAACAAAAAAAATCACGCTGGTTGATGGTGGTGCATGCCTTTAATCCCAGTACTGGAGAGTCAGAGGCAGGCAAATCTCTGTGAGTTCAAGGCCAGCCTGGTCTACAAAGTTCCAGGACAGCCAGGGCTACACAGAGAGACTCTGTTGAGAGAGAGAGAAAGAGAAAGAGAGAGAGAGAGAGAGAGAGAGAGAGAGAGAGAGAGAGAGAGAGAGAGAGAGAGAGAACAAATTATCTCATAGTTTGACACGGGAGCCTTCAGATCAGAGACCTAAAAACTCAAGATGAACTATTTTCCATATTCTATGAAATTTGGACTGCAGTGCGGGAAAGATGATTTAACACAAAGGGTGTGGCCAAAGAGGAATAGATTAGGGAGAAAACCCAGCAGGGCCTGTCTGTTGAGATTCCTGGCCAGTGTGTGCAGTGTTCTCCCTTTCAGACTGGGTGGGGTAATAGGTTACAACCACAACTTAAGTGTCAATTTCTTCACTCAGGCTGAGAGGTGGAGGGAGCTGCAGTAACATTGTCAGGTTATGTGGCTGGCTTTGGGGAAAGGGCTGCTCTTCCTCTTGTCACATTTGTGATCTGCCTCAGGGAAGAAGAATCCTGGTGTCTGTGGCTTGCCTTGGAGACAGTGAGAGGGTCAAAAGACAGTGGGGCAGAAGTCAGGAAGAAACAGCTTCGGAGATCTTTATTTGGGGGTATTGTTCGCTGAGTCATCCACGGCTTTCAAGCTCAATTTCTTGTCTGCATATTCCTGGACCTTTCCTTCTTATTAATACCATGCTAATACCACCAGTCCGGGGCTGACCCATTAAAGCAAGCTGATCCCACTAAAGCAACCATTGAGGACCTTCTTGTTGAAAAGAAGTCAGCTTTCTTTTTCTTTTTTTGACTTTTCAAGACAGGGTTTCTTCCTGTAGCTCTAGCTGTCCCACAACTCACTCCAGTGACCAGGCTGGCCTTGAACTCACAGAGATCCCTCTGTACCTGCCTCTCGAGTGCTGGGATTAAAGGTGTGTGCCACCACAGTCCAGCTGCGAAGTTCCTCTATGCAGACCCTCCAGCAATTCTGAGGGAGGCTCTGTGCTCATCAGCGCTCATTTCCCCGCCAGTCCCTGAAAACTGATGTCTGGATTATTCCAGATGTTTGTATTCCAGCTTTCAGCTTTGATGAGGTTCTCCCCTTTGGCTCTTTCAAAAAAACTTTAAAAAAAAAAAAAAAAACATCAATTTGTTTATTTACTGTGTGTGAACACACGTGCATGCCTCTGCGGGTGGGTGTGCTAGCCACACGTGTGTATGTGCAGTTCTCACGATAAGTATATGGAGGTCAGAGGACAACTCGTGGAAGTTGGTTCTCAACTTTCACCTTGCTGAGGCAGGATCCCTTGTTTCTGCAGCTGCATCCTCCAGGCTAGCTGGCCCTCAAGAGTCTGGATAATTCTGTGCGGGGCCCTTATCCCACAGTGTGAGTGCTGGGATAACGGATGTGAGCACCCTATGTTTGCATTCTGTGGGTTCCTGTGTGGAAAAGAATTTACTACTGAGCTATCTCCTTAGCAGTAAAGAGCTTTTTTTTTTTTTTTTTTTTGGTTTTTGAGACTGGGTTTCTCTGAGTAGCCTTAGACCAGGCTGGCCTCAAATTCAGAGTAGAGATTATTCCTAACCCTAAAAGGCATTCTGTTCTTGGGCTAGTTTTACTTAGGTCCCTACCAAATTCTAATTTAACTGCCCTAGTTCCTAGTGGTCTTTGCGCTATATTTCAGACTTTGTCTCAAGCTGGCCCACACAGCCTGTTCTGTTTCTGCTGAGTGACAGGACCTAGCATCCTAAAGTGCACAGGTTCTGGGCTGCTTCAGCCTGTGCCTGAGAACGTGTCAGGAGGAGTTGTTGGCAGAGGAGTGTAGTTTAAGCGAGCTCTTACCCTCTGCAGCAAGGGGGCCTCTGTCTTCTGCTCTCTGGAGGATCTTCCTGACAAGAAGCAGTTGGCCTGTTAGTCAGACTCCTGCAGTTTAGCGCACTGAAATTTGGGAGGTGCTTGCGGTCAGTTCAGGCAAGGCTATTCAGACATCCATTAAGACCCCACAACGGGCTAGACGTTGCTGTGGTGTTGGGGACAACATAATCGAGTCACATTTTTTTGAAATGAAACGGATTGCCTGGGTTGCTAGCTGCAGGAGTGTGCTAAGTGTCTAAAGAGCTAGAGACTGGAGGGTATTGTTGGAGGAAAGGCAGTCAGAGGAGAAAGGGAGAAGGGAAAATAGGGTAAGATGTTTATCCCTGGGGTTTTTTGATTCTTAGGAACAGTTGAGATTAAAGACCTCAGGAGCACGGGCAGAGGGAGGCACCTTCTGAAGTCTTCCACACAAAGGTGAGTCAAACACCTTGCCTGTTTATCTGGAATAGTGGGAAGAAGGGAAGGCAGGAGGGCAAAGAGCAGTCAGGCAGTGTTCCAAGGCCTCTGAGTGTGTTTCTGCATGTGGGAGTGGCTGTGTGAAATGCTAATTCCTGTGATTTCTTGGCAGCTTTTCTGGAAACTGTGATGACAGCTACTGGTGGGAAAAAATCACCAGCAACCACAGTCATTTCCCTGCCGCCAGGTAACTGGCGGGCACCTGAACCATTTCTTATGACAGGCTCCCGTCGACTCATTTCTTCTCTCTTGCTCATTTGATATAGATAGGGCATGATTTTTCTTTTTCCTTATGAGACAGGGTCTCATTATGCAGCCCAGGATGGCCTGGAACTTGTTATCTGTAGACCAGGTTAAACTCCCATTCCCAGAAATATTGCTCTCCTGCCTCTGCCTCCTGAGAGCTGGGGTTATAGGTGTGCACCATCATGCTCCGCTGAGAAGTTCATTTTGTTTTCTTTTGTGTTGTGCTGTTTTTCGGGACAGGGTCTGTCTGTGCAACAGCTTTGGCTATCCTGGAACTCACTTCACAGACAGATCAGGCTGACCTCGAACTCACAGAGAGTCACCTGCCTCTGTCTCCCAGGTTCCCAAGGGCTAAAGGAGAAGCTCATTTTCAAAGAGCAGAGAATTGATAAGCCACAGTCTCGATATAAACCAAAGAGCTTGTTGAAGAATAAAGAGCCCTGGACAGGAGACCAAGTCCACAGAGAAGACAAAGTACTGAGTTAGGTAGTTAATTTATTTATTTAATTACTTATTTACTTACTCTGTATTTTTCTGAGACGAGGTTTCTATGTGTAGCTTTGGTTGTCCTGGAACTCACTCTATAGATCAGGCTGATCTTGAACTCACTGAGAACTGCCTATTTCTGCCTCTCCAGTGCTGGGATTACACATACTTTCTTTCTTTTTTTTTTTTTTAAAAAGATTTATTTATTTATTATGTACACAATGCTGCCTGTGTGTATGTCTGCACTCCAGAAGAGGATACCAGATCTCATTACAGATGGTTGTGAGCCACCATGTGGTTGCTGGGAATTGAACTCAGGACCTCTGGAAGAGCAACTGGTACTGTTAACCTCTGAACCATCTCTCCAGCCCCTAGACAAAGTTTCTTTAAAAAAAAAAAAAGGTTTTCTTAAAATTTTTTAAACTTTTTTTTTTATTCTTCAGCTGAGATAGCGAGAAAGATGGTTTATTATACACGAGTTACCCTTGGCAACAAGTGAGCACAGAACTAGTCCAGAATGCCACAGGTCCAGGGCAAAGGGCTGGTAGAACTGTTTTGGTTGTAACAAAGGCAGTCAAGTCTCTTAGGTGGTCTCTGCGAGCAGATGGTAAGGTTCCAGGCCCACTGAGACTTACCCTGACGGTAGCGCACACTCCCACAACTTGTACCAGCATCCCGGCCTTTATCACCCCTTTCTTTGCTCCTTCGGCCTTTGTGTGTGGACAGGCTAGTTTACTGGGTCCTCTGCCTCACCTTTCTTCTCTTGTGCTTCAGCCTGCACATTTGCTTCTTCCTCCACTTGGCGCCCATGGGACAAGAGTTTCAAGGAAGATGATGCTAAGGCCGGGAGCTGAACTTTTTATTTTATGTGTACGAGGGTTTTGCTTGCATGTATGTCTCTGCACAACATGCATGCAGTGTCTTGGGAGGTCAAAGGAGGGCACTGGATCTCCTGGAACTAGAGTAACAGGTGGTTGTGAGCTGTTTTGTGGGGCCTGGGAACAGAGCATGGGTCCTTGGAAGAGCAGCCAGTACTCTTAACTCTTGAGCCATCTCTCCATCCCCTAAAGTAGATAAAAACAACAACAAAGACCTTTCCTTTTCCTTTTTTGTTCTTGAGATGGGTTGCATGTAGCCTAGTCGGCCTTGCACTCACTAGGTAGTGGAGACTGGCACTGAGCTCTTCATTCTCCTGCCTCCGCCTCCCCAGTGCTGAAATCACAGTGTGACAGGGTTTCTATCGTTAGGTATGCTCCAACTAGCTTCAGACATTCCCAAGACATCATTAGGTCATTTATTTGTGTGGCAGGAATTTGTGTCCTCCAAGATATTATGGAAAGGAAAAGAAAAGAAGCTGAGCATGGTGATATACACCTATAATTCCTGCACTGGGGAGGCAGAGGCAGGCGGATCTCTGTGAGTTCAAGGCCAACCTGGTCTACATGAGCTAGTTCCAGGGCAGGCTCTAAAACTACAGAGAAACCATGTCAAAAAAAAAAAAAAAAAAAAAAAAAAAGAAAAGAAAAAGAACTAGGACAGGCCTCAAAAAATGTTTAAACTCCTAAGGAAGTAGTACCTTCTAGAGCTTTCTTTTATTGTTTTCTTAAGCTATTCTGTTAAAGTAAACTGTCAGTGGCTGACCTGTCACTTTCTTAAGTGGATGCTGGGCATTGCTAGGAAGCCTCTGGAAGAGTTTCCGCCTCTTAACTGGGCCGCAGATGCTGACTACTGACACACACAGAGAAGGGCCAAAACAGAACGCAGCTCTTCCACTACCTCCGGTTTCCAATACACGCATGGACGCATTTAGTTCTGGATTCAAAGCTAGATCACTGCCCAGGCATTGTGGCCCATGCCAGTAAACCCAGCGTTCGGAGCTTGAGGCAGGTGGATACAAATTTTGAGGCCAGTCTGAGCTACGTACAGTCACCCTGCCTCAAAAGAAGAGAGAAAAAGTCAAACGAGAGCATGCGGACGCAGACCAGCTCTATTGACATGTGTGCTAGTGAAGAAATGTGTATTAAAACAAGGAAAGAAAGGAAGGAAAGGCTTGATTGATGTTCACACCCCTGTAATCCCAGTACTCCGCAGGTGGAAGGAGGAGGATCAGGCACTAAAGGCCAGGCTAGGTTACACAGTGAATTAGAATTTGAGGCCAGCCTGGGCTAAATGAAATCTTATCTCAAAGAAAAAACAAACAAATAACAGAGGGTTGTTGTTGGTGGTGCTGGAGAGACGGAGAGACGGCTCAGCAGTTAAGAGCACTTGCTGCGTTTGTAGATGACCTGGATTTGGTTTCCAGCACCCACATGATGGCCCATAACCAGCCGTAACTTCAGTTCCAGGGGATCCAATGTCCTCCAAAGACAGACATACATGCAGGCAAAACACCCAAATACATAAAATAAATTAATACACAACAGCAACAAAATTGGTCAGTCACGGTGGCATATGCCTTTAATATCAGCACTTTGGGTGCAGAGGCAGACCATGGGTTCTAGGCCAGCCTGGTCTACATAGTGAATTCTAGACAGGGCTTCAAAGTAAGACCCCTGTCTCAAAAAAGGAGAGAAGAAGGAAAGAAAGGAGAAAAGGATCCACATCTGGAAACAGATGAAAATACATAATAAAAGACTTGTGAATGTTACAATACATGGAATGCACGGTAATGATACGCCTTGTGGTCAACATGTCACCTTTTAGGAATGCTGAGTTCACTGTGCTGAACCAACCTCAGTGCACAAAATGCTCACACAGCGTTTGTTCAGCTCGGAAAATAAGTTTGCGTTGCTTTGTCTCAGGTCTTTGTCTCAGATCTTTGACTTTCACTGAATGAGTCTCATATCCCAGAAAAATAATCACCAGTTCGGTACTTCAAAAGTAAACAAGATCCTGTGTTTTCAGGCTTTCTGGGTATCCATAGCTTCTATAGACATGAGTTTAAAATGAATGCAGTGAAGAATCTAGAGAAAGAAGGGGAAATAAGAAACAGAAAATGTGACCATGGAAACAGGGTGGAGAGAATTGTTCAAACACAAGTAGCACATAAGGGTCCTAAAAAAAAATACTGTAGTATATCCAAGGAAAGTCAGTAAGAAGGGCAGACAGGAACTGGGGAGAAGGCTCATCAGCTAAGGGCACTGACTACTCTTACAAGAGGCACAGAGTTAGTTACCAGCATCCACATGGTGGTTCACAACTTCTGTAACTCCATTTCCAGAGGGTTCAACATCATCTTCTGGATTCCAGCAGCTCCTGCATGAATGTGGTGTTGGAATACTCTTCTTCTTCTTCTTTTTTTTTTTTTTCTTCCCGAGACAGGGTTTCTCTGTGGCTTTGGAGCCTGTCCTGAAATTAGCTCTTGTACACCAGGCTGGCCTCGAACTCACAGAGATCTGCCAGCCTCTGCCTCCTAAGTGCTGGGATTAAAGGCGTGCGCCACCATCGCCCAGTCTGGGATAATCTTTTTGTACACTATATGTGAAGATGTGTCTCTGTTCTACCTCACCTGCCTAAGGCACCGTCTTATTGGTTTAATAAGGAGCTGAATGGCCAATAGCTAGGCAGGAGATGATAGAAGGGACTTCTAGAGAGAGATAGGAACTTAGGAACAAATCTGAAGTTGGGAATTCACCAGACAGACTCAAAGGAAGTCAGCAGCACTTTACTGAGGAGAGGTAATGAGCCCCATGGCACGATGTGGATTAATATAAAAGGGTTAACTTACTTTTTTTGAGCCAGGGTTTCTCTGTAGCTTTGGTTCCTGTCCTGGAACTAGCTCTTGTAGACCAGGCTGGCCTTGAACTCACAGAGATCCACCTCCCTCTGCCTCTCAAGTGCTGGGATTAAAGGCGTGCGCCACCACCGCCCCGGCTTGTTTGTTTTTTGAAACACTGTATATCTCGGGTTAACTTACGTTTTAAGAGCTAATTGGGGGGCTGGAGAGATGGCTCAGTGGTTAAGAGCATTGCCTGCTCTTCCAAAGGTCCTGAGTTCAATTCCCAGCAACCACATGGTGGCTCACAACCATCTGTAATGAAGTCTGGTGCCCTCTTCTGGCCTGCAGGCATACACACAGACAGACTATTGTATACGTAATAAATAAATAAATATTTAAAAAAAAAAAAAAAAAAAGAGCTAATTGGGAACTAAGTCCTAAACTAAATCCAAGCTTTCATAATTAGTAAGAAGTCTCCATGTCATTACTCAGGAGCTGGCAGTCCAAGGAAGTACCTGTTATAACATGGCGCACATACAGTATACACATAAATTTATTTGTTTGTTTTGGTTTTTTCAAACCAGGTTTCTCTGTGGTTTTGGAGCCTGTCCTAGAACTAGCTCTTGTAGACCAAGCTGCCCTCAAGCCACAGAGATCCACCTCTGCCTCCCGAGTGCTGGGATTAAAGGAGTACGCCACCATCGCCCGGCTACAATCCTGTTTTCCTTATAAGGTATTCATCCTGAATTATTTTGGTACAATCTCTCAGTTCATCCTTTTTTTTTTTTTTTTTGGTTTTTCGAGACAGGGTTTCTCTGTAGCTTTGGAGCCTGTCCTGGAACTAGCTCTGTAGACCAGGCTGGTCTCGAACTCACAGAGATCCGCCTGCCTCTGCCTCCTGAGTGCTGGGATTAAAGGCATGTGCCATCACCTCCCAGCTTTAAACTCTATTTTTAAGTTAAGGTATTTTGTTATACCATCAGAAAATGCCCTAAAACGCTTCAGATTGTGAGCACAAAGTCATCCTTTGAAAAGCTTCCTTCCAGGTGGCTGTGAAGATGGCTCAGCTGATAAACTGTCTGCTGTATGAGTATGAGAACCTGAGTTTGAATCTTTAGAACCTACATAAAGACCAGAAATGCTAACACATCTGTAACCCTCTTTCTGGGGCAGCAAAGGCAAGAGACTTCTTGAAGCTCAATGGCCCTAGAAGGATTGGCAAACTCTAGGTTTAGTTAAAAGTCCTGTCCCCAAAAATAAGATGGAGAGTGATCAAGGAGGATACCCAGTGTCTTCTGGCAGACATGCATGTACACACGCATGTGGACAACCACATATATGTGCATATGCTACCTATCCACATGCTTTATTGCTAGCTAAGCGCGAGACACACGCCATAGCCCCAGCACTCAGGAACCGGAGCGCTGGGATGAGTAAAGTTAAGGGTTATCCTCGGCTACACAGTGAGCTGGAGGCCAGCCAGGACTGCATCAGACTCTCAAGGCCAAAAAGCAACAAACCAAGAAGGCAGCAAGAGCAACAGACACCCTTCCCGCCAATTAATTTTCTCCTTGAGTTTACTACCCAGGGAACCCGGCTGTGATAATGCCCAAGATGATTAATGGTCAAGGGATTTGAATTAAATGCAAACTGTGAACTGCCACTTCACATCCATTAGAAAGGCAGAGAAGACTAACAGGAAATGTTAGTGAAGATGTAGAGAAACCGAGACTCGCAGGCAGTGTGGTAAAATGGTAACACTACTTTGGAGATTATCTAGAAGTTTCTTTTCTTCTTCTTTTTTCCTTTTTCTGTTGTTGCTGTTGTTTTCTTGTTTTTTGTTTTTGTTTTTGTTTTTTTTTCCCCCAAGACTGGGTTCTACCCTGTGGCCCTGGCTGTACTGGAAAATTTTCTTTGTAGATAACCAGGCTGTCTTCGAACTCACAGAGATCCGCCTGCCTCTGCCTCTGGGGTTCTAGGATTAAAGGTGTGCACAACCATAACTTGGCTGGCAGTTTCTTATAAAGTTATAAAGATAGTTAACCCATGATCCAGCTCTGAGTTAGCCAGGTGTGATAGCACATGCTTGAGATCCCACCACTCAGGAGGTAGAAGCAGTAGGGTCAGAAAATCAAGGTTATTATTCTCAGTTACGTAGTAAGTTCGAGGCCAGACAGAGACTCCTGAGACAAATAGACAAGCACATTGTTTGTTTGTTTGTTTTTGGAGACAGGATTTCTCTATAGCTTTGGAGCCTGTCCTGGAACTAGCTCTTGTAGACCAGGCTGGCCTCAAACTCACAGAGATCTGCCTGCCTCTGCCTCCCGAGTGCTGGGATTAAAGGCGTGCGCCACCATCGCCCGCCCGGCCTAGACAAGATCTGGCCCACAGTTGCAAACCATTCCAAAAGATCCCACTGCTGGGAAGTACAAGAACAAGAGGCAAAATTATCTGTGGCATTGGAAAGTAGAAAATAATGTCAGGTTATGTGTGAGCAGGGAATAGCACCGACCGAAAAGCACCACGAAGAAGCTCCTGGCTTGTTCAAAGGTTCCATGTCTTGTTTTAAATCATAGCTACACAGCAGCTACAATTCATCGACCTGACCACTTTAGACTTCCCAGTTTACTTCGTGTACACTATTTTTCAGCAAAAGCTTATATACACATAGGAAAAAGGCATTGGAGGGTTGGCAAGATGGCTCAGTGGTTAAGAGCACTTGTTGCTCTTCTAAGCATCTGGCTTCTATTTCTAGCCCCCCCACATAGCAGCTCACAACCATTTGTAATTCCATTTCCAGGAGATCCAATAATTTTTCTGATATCCTTGGGCACTAGGCACACACATTCTGAGCAGACATGCTTGCTTGTAGGCAAAATATATACCTGTGCACGTAGAATTTTTAAAAAATGATGGCCTTGCCTGGTGATGGTGGTGCACGCCTTCAATCCCAGCACTTGGGAGGCAGAGGCAGGCGGATCTCTGTGAGTTCGAGACCAGCCTGGTTTACAGAGCTAGTTCCAGGACAGGCTCCAAAGCTATAGAGAAACCCTGTCTCGAAAAACCAAAAAAAAAAAAAACAAAAACAAAAAAACAAAAACAAAACCCAAAAAACCCAAAAATGATGGCCTGGCAGTGATGGCGTCTTTAATCCTAACACTTGGGAGGCAGAGGCAGGCAGATCTCTGTGAGTTGGAGGCCAGCCTGGTCTACAAAGTGAGTTCCTCAAGGCTCCAAAGCTACAGAGAAACCCTGTTTCAAAAAACCAAAAGAAGGAAAAGAAAAAAAGAAAGAGCCCAGGTTTAATGGATGCCAGTGCTCCCAGGTGGCCTTCCAAGCCCCCCAGGGATGGAGATGGGAAGGAAGACTGGAAAAACCACAAAAAGAGGAAAGGAAGACCTGGAGACAAAGTGTTCATTCTCGGGGGGGGGGGGCAGTTTAAATAGCCGGTGGGAGTGGTCTTCACCCTCTCTAGGGAGGGGGCCACAATTTGGCAGTCTTTCTCGGAGGTGGAGTCTGGACTGTGGCAACTTCCAGGGGAGGGGGCCTGGAAATGAACCCTTCACCCAAACATTTCAGACTCCTCGGACACATGGATGCCAGGGGCTGGGGTGAAACCCCAACCCAAACATTCCAGACTCTGTGGAGATAAGGATGTCAGGGGCTGGGGTGAAGCTGCCAACCAAACCCTTCCTTCCTTAAAAGAAAACGACACATGGTTGTTTATCCAAAAATTAAAATGGATAGCTGGAGAGATGGCTCAATGATTAAGAGCATTGGCTGCTTTTCCGGGAGATCCAGGTTCAATTCCCAGCACCCACATGGCAGCTCACAACTGTCTGTAACTCCAGTCCTAGGGGATCTAAGGTCCTCATCTGGCAGAAACCAGGCACTCACACAACGCACAGGCATAACATTCAGGCAAAACACCCATACACATTGAATACCAAAAATAAGCTTTTAAAAGAAGAAATTCAAATTTAACTAGGTTTCTTTTTATTTCCTGGCAAGCCTCTGACCTGGCTGGTAGTGTGCTGTTAGCCATGATCACAATGAGGGCAGAACTTTCTGCTCCGTGGATTTTCACTCTGTCCCCTTTACATGGTGAAAAACATGTAAATACACTTTTAATCATGTGGTGCAGGTATGGCTCGTCTGTTAAATAAAGTGGACACTCTATTTGCAGCTCTTCAGTTAGTGTTTGTGTAAGGGCTAAGAGCCTGGGATTAACCATACAAAGCTATGGCTAGAAAACCTGTTTCTCATGCTAGGTTTGCTGTTCCCACTGAATGAGTAGATTCAGTTCTCTAAAGCAGTTTGAGGCCTTCACAAACGCTGAATGAGAATATTTTGTTCAAATGAAGTCATCCCCTCATCCCGTCTCTTTCCCTAATGGGTTACCCTATTGTTTGGCCTCTCAGGACTTGTCAGACCTCCAGGAGAGAAGCCTGCCAAACAGAGGCTGGAACATATTCCAGAGGGGGCTTGAAAAACAGCTATCCTGGTTGGGTGTGGTGGCACACAAGCTTGCCAGCCATACCTGCACTCCAGGAGGAGGCAGAGATGTGAGGTCGGCCTGATCTACCCAGTGAGTTTTGGGCCAGCCAGAGCTACTACTGAGACTCTGTCTCAGAAAAGGTGAAAGGACTAGAAAAAAGGAAAGAAGGAAAGAGCCCTGCTGTGCTCAGCTAGAGCACTCCACTCAGCGTCCCCTGTCTCTCTGTGGCACAGGATTAGGTTACCCTCATTGGAGCAGCCTGGCTATTCCAGCAATCAGATCTTTCTGTCTCCTTCCTGGTTTCTTGACCTTGACACTACCTATTCACACGCCTTGACTCCAGGCATTACAATCCTTTCATTTTCTTTAAACTCAAGCCAGAGTATTGGAATTTTCCAAACGTTGGTCTGTCTCAGGACCACCGTGAAAAAGCGCTCTGCCATTGGGCGTGCCCTGTAAAACGTAGCATAGGTGGTCTCTCTAACATTTGGACACTTATTCTTCGAACAGGAGATAGGGCTGGGAGTTTGAACCCCCTTCTCACTGTGCTTTTAGTTTTTGCTCGCAATTAACTTGGGCAGACTGCTGAATAAATATTGTCCTGCATCAGTTTCCTCTCCCTTTTATTTGAAGAACCAGTGACAATAACGACAAGAAAAATGAACTAGTTTCCTACTTATTTTGGCTAGTCTTGAAATACAACCTAAGAATCTTAAGGTTTTGATAGAGCACACTGTGTTTCTATGGCCCTTTACCACAAACCGGATGAAAGGTTGTGTAAGAGAAAGGACTTGAAGATTTTCCCATTTGAAACTGAAGTCCTTGATTTTTGTTTCTGTGTGGTTTTGTTGTAGTGGTTGTTTTGTTTCATTTTGGCAACGTGGAGATGGAATCCAGGGCCTCATTCATACATGCTAGGCAAGTAAGCTTTATGCTCAGCTGAATTCTTCCTCTGTGTGTGTGTGTGTGTGTGTGTGTGTGTGTGTGTACGTGTGTGCGTGTGCAGGAGCACATTGGTGCACACTTGAAGGCCAAGGTCAAGCTCATCAGCTGTCTACCTTGTTTTTTTTAATAGGGTCTTTCATTGACCTGGGGCTTGCTAATTAGGCTGACTGATTGGCCAAGGAGCCCTAGGGATCCTGTCTCTGCTTCTCCAGAGCTGGGATTCCAAGAACGAACCACCACACCGGGCTTTATTGGGTGCTGGGGTTAGAAT